AGGGTGAATGAGAGCTTTACTCTCTCTCCCTTTCGAGCCGCGCCAATCCGAGCCGTTGGAAGGTGGCGCCTCCAGTGGCGGTCACGACGTATACTTTCACTCCCTCCCGTCGTGAGCCTCACTCTGGATTTTCCTCGTTAGGGAATTCTGTAAAATAGATACATATAAAATTTTATTAACTTATTTGTGTATACTCTGAATTAATTATTTTGTCTCTTAAGTATATGTGTTGTGGTGCTAGTAGAGGTTTCGTCATAATGTCAGCTATGTTCTCTTTACTTTCTACCCATTTGACCACTATTCTGTTTTCTAAGGCACACTTCTTAACATAATTTCCGTGAGTTACTGCCATGTGAATCTTGCTTCCGGTCTGTTCTTTTATCTTCAATTTTCTCTAAATTTCTGAAACTTCATCATCAAAGATGGTGGCTAGAAAATATGTTTTTCCTGTCATGTCTCTTATGGCTTTGTCAAGTGATATTATTTCTTGAAATTCTTCACTCATCGTCAGATATTCTGCTTGACTGGTGGAAAGTGATACATAATTTTATTTGTAGCTTCTCCACGCTACTGTATTACCATACAATTTGATTATGTATCCACCTGTGGAGGTAGAGTCTGTTTGATCTCTGAAGTTTGAATCTGTAAATGCCTCTAATTTGTCTCCTCCTCTTCTGTATGTTAGCTACTCTTCTGTATGTTTACTACTTCTTTAGTTTTCTGCAGGTATCTAAAGATTGGTGGTCCAAAAAGTAACGATACACCTGAGAAATTTTCTAAGCCGGTTATTTTTTTAACCGGGTGAAGGTTATTCTTGAAGTAACTTTTTACGAGGAATCCGATGGTAACCTTGGATTTGACCTTGAATCTCATTTTCAAGGTTATTTTGAGGTCAACCTCATTTTTTCAAATGGAAACCCCTATTTTTTATGGCGGAATCGGAAAGAGCGAAAAATTTTACGTCCAGATATGTATTGAGGTATGAGGTTGAGGTAACTCCTAGAGGTCAACTGGAGGTCAAAGTATGAATTCTTAAATATCTCGCGAATTCAGTGGTTAAACAAAACAAACAAAAGGATAACCCCAGGTAACTTTCAACGGTGCTCTTTAATTTGTCCTTGAACCTCATTTTCAAGGTTATTTTGAGGTCAACCTCATTTTTTTTAATGGATACCCCTATTTTTTATGGCGGAATCGAAAAAAGTGAAGACTCTCACGTATGGATGAGTTGAGATTTGAGGTTAATGTGACCTCTAGGGGTCAGATGAAGGTCAAACTGTGGCTTTGTAATAGTACCGGGATTTTAGTGGTACAAGGAAGCAAATAAAGGTCATGGAAACCCCCATTTTCAACAGCGGCAATCGAAAGAGCGGAAAATTTCACATCCAAATATCTACTTAGATCATAAGTCAAGGGCGAACTTAAAGTTTAAGGTCAGTCGAAGGTCATCCAAACTTAAAGACGCACTAAAATTTTTTAAAGTTTTTTTCATAATGGAGAAGGGTATTTATTTAGTAATTGCCCATCGGAGATCCGTAACCTTGAATTTAACCTTCAACCTCATTATAAAGGTTTTTTCAAGATCAATTTTTTTTACTTTTAGCGTTACCCAGGAACAACGACGTGGACGTAGTAAAATCTGTCCCCTTGGGGTGCTTTATTTTCGTGAGTTCCCCTCGCCTCTCACGATCGGGGTGCTTGATTTTCGTGAGTTCCCCTCGCCTCTCACGATCGAGGTGCTTGATTTTCCTGAGTTCCCCTGGCCTCTCACGTATGATTTATCTTACATCAGCACATCTTATTTTAAGTGCTCGAATTGTTCACCGTTCACTTCTGGACAGTAAGTTAATCGGTGGTAAAAAGCATCAATAGCATTTTGGATCATTTCAGTGGGAATGAGAGCTGATTCGTCTATGATCCTTTGACGTAATTCGTCCAAGTTTTGGGGTTTAGTTGTATACCCGATCCTTCAATCAAGCACCCCGATCGTGAGAGGCGAGGGGAACTCACGAAAATAAAGCACCCCAAAGGGACAGATTTTACTACGTCCACGTCGTTGTTCCTGGGTAATGCTAAAAGTAAAAAAAATTGATCTTGAAAAAACCTTGATAATGAGGTTGAAGGTTAAATTCAAGGTCACGGATCTCCGATGGGCAATTACTAAATAAATACCCTTCTCCATTATAAAAAAAAACTTTAAAAAATTTTAGGGCGTCTTTAAGTTTAGATGACCTTCGACTGACCTTAAACTTTAAGTTCGCCCTTGACTTATGATCTAAGTAGATATTTGGATGTGAAATTTTCCGCTCTTTCGATTGCCGCTGTCGAAAATGGGGGTTTCCATGACCTTTATTTCCTTCCTTGTACCACTAAAATCCCGGTACTATTACAAAGCCACAGTTTGACCTTCATCTGACCCCTAGAGGTCACATTAACCTCAAACCTCAACTCATCCATACGTGAGAGTCTTCACTTTTTTCGATTCCGCCATAAAAAATAATGGTATCCATTAAAAAAAATGAGGTTGACTTCAAAATAACCTTGAAAATGAGGTCCAAGGACAAATTAAAGAGTACCGTTGAAAGTTACCTGGGGTTATCCTTTTGTTTGTTTTGTTTAATCACTGAATTCGCGAGATTTTTAAGAATTCATACTTTGATCTCCAGTTGACCTCTAGGAGTTACCTCAACCTCATACCTCAATACATATCTGGACGTAAAATTTTCCGCTCTTTCCGATTCTGCCATAAAAAATAGGGGTTTCCATTTAAAAAAATGAGGTTGACCTCAAAATAACCTTGAAAATGAGGTTCAAGGTCAAATCCAAGGTTACCATCGAATTCCTCGTAAAAAGTTACTTCAAGAACAACCTTCACCCGGTTAAAAAAATAACCGGCTTAGAAAATTTCTCAGGTGTATCGTTACTTTTTGGACACCCTGTATAATCTGTCTGAGTTAGGGTCATGACTTTATTTAATCTGTCTCCTGAATTTTCATTCCTAAGTACATGTTTGGTTCTCCCATGTCTGTCATCTGAAATGCTTCACACAGTCTGGATTTTATTTTCTGTAGCTTTTCTTGATTATTACCTGCTAGGATTATGTCATCGACATAGAGTACAAGTATAATCATTTTTCCTTCCTTTCTCCACGTAAATAGGCATGCTTCATTGATGTCTCTCTCTAGACCTAATTTCTTATCTTCATCAGTAAATTTGTCATTCCATTTCTTTGGACTGATTTTCAGTCTATACAGTGTTTTCTTAAGCTTGCAGATTTTTCTGTCCTTTAGTTCTTCTGGAATGTTCAAGCCTTCTGGAATTTTCATGTAGATTTCTTCATCTAGTGTACTATTCAAGAAAGCCACTTTCACATCAAGTTGCACTGCATCTAAATCTTCTTGATTTATTATGGCAAGTGCAGATCTGATGATAGCTATGCGAGATACTGGTGCATAGGTTTCTCTTAATTCGTATTCATTCTTATCCTTAAAGCCTCTTATGACCAGTCTCGCTTTATTCTTAATTTTTCCATCTGAAATTTTCTTTTTGTATATCCATTTTAAATCTATTAAGTTGAGTTTGGATACTTCTGAAGTTGAGGCGGGGTAATCAGTTATTTCCCATACTTCCTTTTCTATCATAGAATTTAATTCTTCATTCATGGCTTGTATCCAATCCCATTTTTCTGGTATACTCAATGCTTCTTTAAAGCTTGACGGATCTTTGTATGTTTGCGCTAGACACACATATGCTTGTTCATCTTTCTTTTGAACTTTGGGAGTTTCTGTATTAATTTGTACTTTATATACAAAGTCTGGATTTCTTGTTGGATTTTCTTTCGCTTTTCTCTTTGGTCCTTTCCTTATTTCTGGTGGACATTTATCTGTATCACTGTGATTCGAAGCGTTTTTCCTTTTTCTTCCTCTTTTGATCTTTTCTTCTGGTTTTTTTTTCATTGTTCTTTTCGTTCAACTCTGAATTAGTTGACTCTTTGACATCACTTACATCCGTATTTTCTTCTCTAAACTCTTCAAATCTTAGATCTGTAGGTTTGGTTTCTTTCTTGCCCATTACTTCTTTATAAGTTAATTTTTCATTAAACTTCACATGTCTGGAGTTGATGAATCTCTGTGTTTGCGGATGCCATAGAAGGTATCCTGTAGGTGTGTGTCCTACTAGAATCGTCTTAATTGCTCTCTCTGAAAACTTAGTCTCTGGATTTGGAATTTTTACGTATGCGATACAACCAAATCTTTTTAGTGCATCTATATGACTCTTCCTGTTTAGATTGAGTATCGATAAAGGAGTTCTAAAGTTGTTGACTTTGTGTGGTGTTCTGTTATACGTGTGAACTGCTGATTCTACAGCAAGAACCCACATGTTTGAAGGTATTCCTGAGTCAATCAGTATTGCTCTTATCAGTTTCTGAATTGTCTTATTAAATCTTTCTGCAGTTCCGTTCAGCTCTGGAGTGTATGGAGGTACGAATTCTCCTGTGATGTTTTCATTCTTCATTATTTCTGCGAACTCGACACCTGTAAACTCTGTTCCGTTATCTGTTTTTATGAAGCAAACTTTTTCATTCCGTCCAAGTTCATTTCTGACATGTTCAAGGTAGCTTTTTAGGCATTTACCTGATTCATGTTTATTCTTTGTACTGTATACCTTTGCATATCTGGTGTAATCATCTACAAATACGATAATGTAGAGATTCTGCCCTGGAAATGAGGGCGGTGAAATTCTATATAATATAAACTAAAGAAATACTACGCACACTGCTAAGTCACAACTAAAAAACTCTTAATTAGATGTCTTAAAAACAAAACGTTGCTTTCGCAATCAGCGTTAAGCAGAAAGTGAATGAGAATGTGTTTTTGTCTCTCTCCCTTTCGTAGACCCTACGTCACGACGTACACTTTCAATATACGATTAATCATTTATCATAATTTTACTTTGAAATTCTATTAAAAATTTTATGTATTTAATTAATTTTGTTCTAGGCGTTTTAAAACAAATTTTAGATAAATGCATTTCTGGCAATTCTGTCTCGGAAATATGTGAATTTGGCGACAAATTGTTATTAGATGAGACGAATAAAGTTTTTAAAAAAGAGAAAGATATGAAAAAAGGTATTGCTTTTCCCACGTGTTTATCAGTCAATAATTGCATTTGTCATTTTTCACCGACCGCAAGTGAAATTGATTTAGTTTTGAAAGAAGGCGATGTAGTTAAAGTGTGAGTATCATAATTATACTAATTTCATTATTTTACTATAATTCGCTTTAATTATAATGGTTAATAAGATATTTATGCACTTTTCTTTTTAATGTGAAAAACAATTAAATAGGAGTAATAAATTATGTTTAAGATTTTGTACCATACCTAATTATGTCGTAGAAAGAGTTACCACTTAATCATTCTATTGAAAATCTTATAGAAAGCTAGACAAAACAAATTCTATAAGGTCTCTGAAAATGATTTCATATATACATTATATCATATAACAAATTGTTTGGCCTATTGTCGATGATTTTCATTCTTAGTTTTAATTTTAGAAGTTATTTATAAGTATGTTAGCTTCTTTGGCCAATGACAAAAGTTAATATACTCATACAAAGTTAGTGTATACTCTTAAGCGACTTAGTGTATACTCTTATAGCTCCTGTTATACATTTTTTCAACACACACACATATATATATATATATATATATATATATATATATATATATATATATATATATATATAGTAACGGGGTAGATATCCGTCTATTTAATTAAGCGCGCGATCGCATCGAAGAGCGCGCGGGATTACCTAAACGTTCAAATTCGAAAATCGGAGAGCAGGAGGGAACGGGTGTCAGTCAACCAACTTTCTACTAGCGCGAAATAATAACATCAAAGTTACAATTAATATCATATTCGAGATCGTTTATTCCCTCTTATTCCTATAGTGTCGATCGTTATCAGTTGACTTGTCTTAGCACTCCAAGAAAACTCGGGAAAATCTCTAATTGTCACTAGCAGCAGCTGAGTGTGCGGGTTCTAATCTTCAACTGGTTCATTTTCATACGTGCGTGTTCCGTCTCGTCTCGTGCCGAATTCCCTCGTCACATCTTTCCCCAACCGATAGGTGCTGCCCCCGCAGGCTGTCAGCGCTAATAAGACGTTTACCGTCAAAATATATATATAAAATTTCAGACGTGATAATCCAATAACTGAAGATTTGGAAATTTTTTTCATTGATAGATATTAAAATTAAGCAAACTTGTGACAACCTTTTTTTAATTAGATGGTGTTTAAACAGTACAGAAATTAGCATATAGAATAAATTACAAAATTGATTTATGTATTGTGGTTGTAACCAAGTTTTAAAAATTTTCCATAATCGTTAGAATGATATTTAATGTAATAACAATCAAAACAAAGCGGTTTTCTACACCATAAGCATTTAACGAAAATTGTAATCATGCATTTACATTTACCTTTACCTTGTTCAAATGGGAAACAAACTTGTCTAACATTCATAAAAACGTCACGATCATCCAACATTTTTGAAGAGTACCAGGCATATGTTATCATTTCTTTAAATATTGGAGCTAATAATTGATTGTATACAAGTGATTGTATTTTTACAACATCATATCTTGACGTTAATTGATCTTCTCTTTGTTTAAGGTGTGTTGAATTGTAAATTTCTTTAATTAAAATTTTTGCTTGTCTATGAAAATAAACATCCAAAGGTTGAGCATAAGCTGTGCGGCCAGGAGGAATAACTTCAACTGTACAACTTTGATTACCGTGCTCGTCAACAAATTTTTCATATAAATTTGTATTTTTTTGTCCACCCCAGCTATCCAAAAGAAGTAAAAATGGATTGTACTCTACATGTGGCAACATAATATTAAGAGTATATGAATGAAACAAGGCCGATGACAATTTCCCAGATTTCGAGCAAGTTATAAAAATGTTTGGAAATTGTTTCGATATTGCCTCTATATCTTTGGCAATTTTTGGACCAAACACACCATTAACCTCTTGCAAACATATGAAAACTTTTGGTACAAGTTTACCTGCAGCACTAATTTTATATTGAACTGTATTGATATGGGTCACTTTATTGTAATCACCAAGGTATGCTTCTATAGTTTTTGTACCAGCGATTTCCAACGCCCCATTTACATTTGGTCTGTATTCGCAACCCATTTGATCTGTGTTGAAAACATAGCTTTTATTCATACTTTTTATTGTATTGTAACACTCATCTTGAAATTTTTCAGATATTGAAAATATTTCTGTAATTGACATATTTTCTGTAGGTTTTACATATCTCGTAACTTTCCTTTGCTTTATTCAGTAATGTTTTTTAAATCTGTTTACTCACGATAAAGAAGCACTGAATTGGCAGTCTTTTTGATTAAATTGCATAGCACCTTGCAATGCCTATTCTTGTAAGTTCCGAGTACTCACAGATAGTTTTCTTTCTCTGGCATCTAAAAATCTATCATATGTTCATTTGTTTATGAATTCCTGTTTATCAAATTGAGTACCTCCTTTTTGAATATCTTTTTCCCATCTCTTTAGTACGTCTAATCTAGTCAAAAAATTAGATCCTTTTTGTTGCAGAGTGGTAAGCGACCAACCAGGATGTTCTTTAGCTAAATTTACACATTTTATTTTAATTTACAATGGAACAGCTGAATAATCTTTCTTTATTTTTTTGATTTCAGGTTAATAATCACTCCCTTGACTGTCAAGAAAGTTATCTAGAAACGTACAAAAGCTAATATATAAATTTATCCAAAAATTGTTTAGTGTATGAATAATTATTTGGTGGGTTTTGCAAATGATATCAATTGTTATGAAGACTTGATTTTTGTAATGCAACCCACCTTTTTCTTGACTTTCTAAATTTTCCAATATATAAAATTCTTCTGGTGAACATTGATTGGTATTGATTAAATTTACATATTCAGCATCTGTATATAGTTCGTCAATTTCATCTAATATCAATTCCTGTTTTAAAGTCGATGTCTCAAAATAATCGCATAGAACTACTGCCATATCATTACCAGTTTTGCAAGCTTGTTCTGATGGGTCTTGTGAGAACTCTATCAAATTCATATTTTTAATTTTCCAGGCAAAATTGTAAATACTGATTGGAAAGTTTCGAGTTTGATTCAATATTTTTGTATTGATTAATTATAATCGTTGTATGGAATCCTGATGGAATAGTAAAATAGAAACAAATAAAAATTAAATAAATCTATCAACTTTTTAATATTAGATATATAATAACAATTTATAATACATACTGTAATTTGTTTGAGTCAAAAATCTTTGAAAAACCTTTCACAAAGCGCAAAATAATCTTCGAGTATCACTTTTCCGTTACTATTAGTTACATATTGAATTTATTATAGAAACCATACCAAATTTACATTTGATAACTTTTGGTTTTTTCTATTATATAATTGACGGAATAATAATAATTAATAATCACTCACAATTAGTATCAAAGAATTTCAAACATTCAAAATAATAACAGTTACGGTTGATTTCACTTGTATTGGCGATTCAACGATACCGGTCTGGTGGACAAGAAAGGAATCTGACATGAACCCGACGGTTCGATATTCAACCTAAGAAAAGGTACAAATTAATTGAAAAAAACAGAATACGTGGAACATGTTTGAAAGAATTGGAAGAAAAGTGCATTTGTTGTTTTTTAAAATTTAAAAATTTAGTTATTGTAAAATTTAGTAAAATTTAGTTATTGAGAAGTTTTTTGGTTTTTATCATATTTTAACTTGCAAAAAGAGTAGTGTAGAATTCAGTGCGGGTTTCGTTCGTGACAGTGACAGATAGGGCTACAAAATACAGTCCAAGTGTGCTTTTAGATATTTTGACTTGCTCAACACAAATCTTGAGAGGAGCTTGTTAACAAAAAGGACAGGTAACTAGTTATCAACAATTTAATTATTTAAGTAAACATAAAAGCTTATTTATACTTTAATATTTTGGAAACAGCAACAGATTTGAAAAATATTCAATAGAACGTGAGGCATGGTGATTTTAATTCAATTATTGCGTTGGCCACTCAAGCCGTTCATCAAGCACATTTTCCGATGTTTGTTATATCAGTACATCTCGCGTTCTATTCAATATCTTTCAAATCTGAAAAAACCGATTTTCAGAATAAAAATATACATAAATTGTAAATAATTGAATTGAAACAGTGTTTTATTTCTTAGTTTATCTAACGTGAAGAAACCCTCATTTTTAATTAATTGGAATAATTTACATTGTGAAGTGTAAACAACGTATTTTAATAATAACACAGGTCAACATGATTTATATCGCACGAACATGAGCAACATATTCCGAAGGTTTTTGATGCGCTGAACACGAACCTGGCATGCTCTATCACGTTACATTTTCGGGATATTCTAACCTGAAAGTGCGAAAAACACGTATTTGTGCTGTTTTCGAAGCTATATTACACCGCAAAAAATTTTTTTTATTGAAAACTAATCCGACCATCTTAAAATATTGCTTCTGCCCTTTCCAACGCATTTTTCAAATTTAACAAATCTTTTTTTTTCACGGACATATCATCGAATGAAGTTCACCACTTTAGCGATTTCATAACAACAGTATCAACAATACAAATATGACAGCCCCACGAAAATGTCATATGTGAACAAAAGTGCAAAAGGTAATAACATTACATTTATGTTTTTGGGGTCGCTGAATCCAAATCCATGATTCATTTGACCCGATTAGCTCAGGGGTCAAATTCAGATCAAGGTCAAATCAAGATTATCCCATTAATCTTGGTCCAGGTACTGTTTCTCTGGGTTTTCGTGGTCGCTGAACTCGAATCTGCGGTACGTTGGACCTGGTCGGCTCAAAGTCAAAGTTAGGTCAAGGTAAAATCCAAAAAATGTATTCAATGAATCCAAATTTAAGGTTTATCTCACCAATAACCGCTTAATATTTCTATGGCAATGTTAGCAACCCCCGAATAACCCTCTAATAACCCCCCTAATATAAACTATGCTATGAACCCCCTAATAACACAATTACGATGCTATAAACCCCCAATAACGTATTGACAGTGCTATCAACCTCCTAATAAACCTCTGATAATCCCCTAATATAAACTATGCTATGAACCCTTTAAAAACCCAATGGTAATCCTATCAACCCTTTAATAACTCACCCCCTAATAACC